TATATCTGTAAATAGAAGGAATCTCACAGGGATGCCGGAAGGCTGTGGTGCTGCCTTCTCCCACAGAAAGCGAATGATGGCAGCCAGCCTCCCATACAGCCTGTAATTCTGAGCCCGCAAAACCATTCAGATCCTCTTCCAAAGATGCTGGAGCAAACACGTATTTAAGAAAACTCACTGCAACTTCTGCCAAAATGGCCAAGAGTGCAATCCTAACAGAGTGATACCTTTCTAAACAGGTGTCACGATCCTAGGCTTACGATAGTGAGGCCAAAAGGCTCTAGGGAGGCCTAGTGGCTCCAGAGAAGCCTGTATTGGAGTAGCTATCAAGGCTAGGGTTGCCAAGTCCATCTTCCGCCCCCAGCGGGGGACTTTGGGGGCGTTCCTGGAGGGGGCGGGGCATCCCAACGTGATGACATCACGTTGGGGACGTCCGCCGACCCCCCCCCCCTCTCCCGCCCGATCTCCGGAAACGCCAGTTCCCTGCACTTGAAGGAGCCGGCATTTCCCTTTTAAGTGCACGGAGTCGGCGTTTCCCTGCAAGCCTGATCTCAAGCGGAGATTGGGCTTCGGAGGAAACGCGGGCTCCATGCACTTAAAGGCAGCCACCCCTATCTCTCAAAGTAGACGTGATGAAACACGAAATGAACTCCGAGAAAATCTTTTTGTTTAATATATAAATAAAGTACTGGCAGACCCATGCTTCAGTTTATAACAGACACCCCACAACAACAGACACCCTGTGAGGTAGGTCTTTTGAGGACTGCTCTTGAGAGAACAGCTCTGAGAGAACTGTGACTGCCTCAAGGTCACCCACCTGGCTGCATGTGGAGGAGTGAGAAATCAAACCCGGTTCTCCAGATTAGAGTCCGCCCCTCTAAACCACTACACCAAACTGGCTCTTCACAGTCATACACTTGCTACAAAGGACCAGTTTGATGTCACCCTAATAACTTATATGAGGAGGTACATCTGAATTAACATACACGTTTAGGTATAACTTGCATTATCAGACTTTGAATCTCAAAACAATAATGATAAAAGAACAATGAAATACTGTGAAGCTACCTTTAAGATTTGACTTCATGATGCATGATCATAATGCCCAGGATTGCTTTTGATCATGGAGGATGCATTTGGACATCACAATAAACCTCTGTTTGTGACGGGCAAGAATTTAGCCTCTATGTCCTGCTTTGAACACAACTGAAATTTTTCTGGTCTAGGAATCCTTCAATCGAATTGTTTTGGCCGCTGTGTGAGACAGGATGCCGGACTCAATGGACCACTGGTCTGATCCAGCAGGGCTCTTCTGATATTCTTAAAACTCCATAATGTCATAATTTATGGATGTAAGAACCTGGGCAAATTGAAGTTCATTCCTTCCCCCGGAAATGGAGAATAAATTGAGATTTAGAGTCTTTTTTGTAAGGAGGAAACACATTACAGTTTGCCCGAAGGCCTACATTCAGCCATTATGTCTTTTTGCTCTGACTTGAGGATTCCCAAACCAGAAGACTTCAGCTGTGCTCTCCGTGCAAGAGCAGAGTGCTGTGTGTACGCCCATCGGAAACAGAAAGAGGTACGTTGTGCCATCTGAACGTGGCCAGGGTATAAGATTGTCAAAACCTTGCCTGTGCATTAGGCTCCTAAAGAGATATCCTTCCAGGCCCAGACCAGTATTAATCCCTTCAAAACAAAACAAACTGCATAGCAGAATCTAAGGTTACCAACTTCCAGGTCAGTCCTGGAGATCACCCAGCATTTCAAGTGATCTCCAGACCACAAAGATCCGTTCCCTCGAGGAAACGGCTGCTTTGGAAGGTGATCTTTATGGTATTCTAACCCTCTGCAGTCCTTCCTCTTCCCAAACCCTGCTCATTCCAGGATCCACCCCCAAATCCCCAGGAATTTCCCAAGCAGGAGCTGGCAACCCTACCAAAACCATTTCTAAAGATTCTAAGTACTTATAAAAGGGAGTATTTCATCTACTTCAGATTGCCCTTGGATTCAAAATCCTGTCAGGGTAGCCCAACACAAACCAAACGCCCTTGACCAGCTCGCTCTTTCCCCTGGATTTCACTCCCTTTGAGAGCATTCTCATAATCAGATTTGAAGATATGGAAAGGATTTCACCAGAGGTCATTTCGGGGGGGGGATCGCGGGGGATTGCAGTTCCCCCGGGTGAGGTACGGGGGGCGGGGCACATGACGAAGCCCCGCCCCCTGCTTCCGGCCACCCCGCTTCCGGCCCTCATTCAGCCAGGAGGCAGGAGAAGAGGGAGGGTAAGTTGCTGCCTCCCTGCCTCTCCCCACCCCTGCCTGCCTGGGGCCAGGGAGGGCCTTCGCGGAGCTTCCTTGCCCTCCCGCCGGCCTTGCAGGTCCGCCGCCGGGCCCCTCATGGGGCTCGGCAGTGGAGCTGCAAGGGCAGCGGCCGGGACCGTTGGGGGCGGGGCGTGTGGCCTTATGACACACTTCTATCCTGCATGGAGTTGTGGTGCTGGAAAGTGCTGTTAAGTCGCAACTGACTTATGGCAACCCCGTAAGGTTTTCAAGGGAAGAGATGAGCAGAGGTAATTGGCCACTGCCTGCCTCTGCACAGAGACTCTGTACTTCCTTGGTCGTCTCCTATTCAAGTACCGACCAGGGCTGACCCTGAATAGCTTCCAAGAACTGAAGTGGTCTGCCATTGCCTGCCTCTGCACAGCAATTCTGGACTTCCTGGGTCGTCTCCCATCCAAGGACTAACTTGGATGCACAGGGTGGCCCCTCCTTAGCTTCTGAGATTTGAGAAGATCGGTCTAGCCTGGGCCATCCAGACCAGTGTCATGGAGCTGTAAGATAAATAAAAACCAGCTTGAACAGGAACCTATGAATACTCATATATGGAGGGACCCATATTCAGTGGAAGAGGGTTTGCTTTGCATGAAGAGGGTCCCAGGTTTAACCCCCAAGATCTCCAGTTAAAGTAGCCCAAGAAGCAGACTGTGGGAAAGACCCTTTTCTGACCGGGACTATGGAGACTAGCTGACAGTTTGAGGAGGCATGACTGAACTAGTGAACCAAATATAATAATAATGTGCCATAAAGTTGCAACTGACTCATGGTGACCCCATCCATGAGGCGTTCCAGGCAAGACATGAGCAGAGGCCATTGCCTCCCTCCACCGGTCTCCCTTGGTGTTCTCCCATCCAAGTATAAACCATGGCTAACACTGCTTAGCTTCTAAGCTCTGACAAGATCAGGCCAGTCTGGGCTATTAGGCTACCAGTAACCACATATGCAGGGGTCATTTCCTGCAGGAGCACACAGGAGCGGAGCTCCGGCAGTAAAGAGCCCAGGGGGCGGGCACATGCAACAAGCTCCACCCCCTGCTTCCAGCAGCCCTCAGTCAGAGCGAGAAGCAGCCAGGTAAGTTGCAGAGCCCCCCGCCAGCCCCCTGGCCCCAAACAGTCCAGTGGCACCTTTAAGACCATGTTTTATTCAGGTACA